CTGCCCATTTTTGGATTGGGTCTTTGAATTTGGAGAGGCTGAAATTTTTAAATTCTTTATATGTTCTAGAACATCAAGTTGTTTATTTGAGCTTGTTCTGCTTTTCTGATGTGTGAGTTCATTGCTATAAATTTTCCTCATACGAGTGCTTTCATTGCATCGCATAAGTTTTGGTATGTTGCATCAGTATTATCATTTAATTGTCAATAGTGTTTAATTTCATCTTTAACTTTCTCTGTGACCCATTGATTGTTCAGAAGAGTGTTGTTTAATTTCCATGTGTTGATGTAGTTTTTGAGGTTTTTTTATGTCCTTGATTTCCAGTTTCATTGCATTATGGTCAGATAGTATGCATGGGGATGATTTCAATTTCTCCACATTTACTTAAACATGTTTTATCAGTTAATATATGATCTGTTTTAGAGAATGTCCCATGTGCAGCTGAAAACAATGTGTATTCTCTTGTTTTGGGGTAGAACGCTCTGTAGGCAACTACCAAGTTCATTTGTTCATAGGCTTGGTTTAGTTGTAATATTTCTTTGTGATTTGTTTGTCTAGTTGATCTATCCATTTGTGAGGGTGGGGTATTAAAATCCCACACTATAATTGTATTCGTGCTTATTTGATTTTTCATGTCAGTTAAGATTTGTTTTATGTAGTTAGGTGAACCTGTGCTTGGTGCACAAATAGTTATGATTGTTATCTCTTGTTCTTGGAGTTTTTTCTTAACTAATATGTAGTGACCTTTGTCTCTTTTGCTCAGTTCTGGTTTAAAATTTGCCCTGTCTGCAAATAGGATAGCTACTTCTGTTCTTTTCTGGGTTCCTGTGGTGTGGAGAATTGTTTTCCATCCTTTGACTTTTAGTCTATGAATTTCTTTTTGGGTGAAATGTGTTTCTTTAATAGAGCATATCGTTTGATCTTGCTTCTTGATCCATTCTGCTATTCTGTTTCTTCTGATGGGTAAGTTGAGACCATTTACATTATTGGTTATAACTGATATATTTTGGCTTTTCTTTTCCATATTGTTTCCCTGTTGATTGTTCCCTGTCTTTCTGTTGTGTTTAACTGTTTGCCCTGCCTGGTGGCTTTCTTCTGTTGGTACTTCTACATAGGTGGTCTTCTTTATCTCTTTCTAATATGTTTTTGAAAGCATTCTGTAGAGGTGGTTCAGTGGTCATAAATTTCTTCAGTTGCTCCTTGTCATGCAAATATCTTCTTTCTCCATCAATTTTGAAAGATAATTTTGCTGGATACATCAATCTGGGTTGAAGATTATTTTCCTTTAGGGCTTGAAATACTTTACTCCAAGCTCTTCCTGACTTGAGGGCTTGTGGTGAGAAGTCTGCTGTGATTCTGATGGGTTTTCCTTCATAGGCAATACATTTATTTTCTCCAGCTGCTTTTAATATTTTGTTCTTGTGCAGAATTTCTGGAATCTTGATTATTACATACCTTGGTGTAGATTTATATTGGTCATGCCTATTTGGAGTT